CACTTGCCTTGAAAACTGCAAGGACTCGTCCAAGCAGTCACTACAGAGTCAGTAATGACTGAGCGCAGATTAAAAAAAAAAATAAATCATTACATTCAAGAAAGTCACTCTAACTAATTATACACATAATTGCCATGTTATAAAAACATAAAACCTTTTATTTATATTCATAACTAAAGTAAAAAATAAGAAAATATATTTTAGAAATAATTCAATTGTGTAACATATGAAATCTACTACAGCAGAGGCATAGCAATAGGATACTTCAATATTGTTAACACCATCAGTAGTCTTAAGCAAGACAATTGCTAGCATTTTTTCACCCTCAATTACAAGTACAGACATCTTGTATCAAGCCTAAGAGGGCTCACATATGAAACAATAGCCTCATTCAATAATAAGTTTTCCAACTAAGCTTCAATTAAAATCAGTTCTGTGCTGTTGTATTACTTTGAACAGAAATTTTTAATCATGAATTCTACCAATTTAATGCTGCAAATCAGATCGTAAGGATACGGTCCTAAAGTCTCAGATAATTGAGAACTGGTTGTGTCTAAGACCTTGTGGTCCAGCATTCTTTGTTTCTGTCAACTGAACAGGTGAAACAATTGCTTTGGTTCTCTACTCATACCCATTTAAAATAAAAACTGATTCTCCCTTCCTGGCTACTCAAATTTCTGGGAGCACAAACACAGAAAGATAGGTACTTTATCTTTGTTTCAGAACCATCAACTGCTTGGCAAAATTCACATTGTTATGGAAACCAAGCAGCACATCAGGTTAGCCAGTTGTGAGTTTCAATGTTAGCCATCAGCTCAGGAACTGACAGCAGAAATACATGTGTATCACCAGAAGGGTCATCTTACCTTCCCAAGTTAAAGTGTGGTAAACATTACTAGATTCTTTAAAAATAAAAAAATCTTTAGTTTCATATTTATTGAAAAGAATCGACTTTGGAAAAATATGGGCACTTCACCACTACATCCGTAAATGAAAATACCAGGCATTCGTTTAAACATTGTGAGTGGTTTCCAAAAATAACACAAGAACGCACCATTTCTTAATTTATATCTCAAAGCCAAGTGTCTTTTCTTTTTATCCTTCCTTATGCAGCATTTTGAACATCAAGTTTACCAAACCTACATCAAGGTAAAATAACATCTAAATGAAACTATAGTTCCCAGTGTAAGGGAGATCTGCTTGACTGCTAGCGTGCTCAGCAGTTCGTCGTCTTCTACCATCTTTCAATATCTTTTCTACGTCTTCTTTTTTATGTTTGGTTGGTGTCTGTTTCTTTGCTTTAGCTTCCTTTGAAGTTCTGGATTGAGAAGCCCCTTTTCCTTTCATGCTACCTTTACGTTGTCGCACTGCCAAAAAGCAGATAGACAATTAGCATTTTTCACAGCAGATTATAACAGTTATTTAATTATATTCCTATGCAAATATGCACCAAATTAGAGGATAGGGTTACAAAGCTTATTCAATGCACATTGAGGAAAAATAAATCCTGCCTTCCTCTCACCCGCTGTAGTTTATACAGCTGAGTTATAAACTCATCCAAGTTTCAATAACCTCCATCTATGATAAGCAGTCAAGGCGCAACTGGGTGGTCACTATAAGAGTCAAAGATTGTCATTTTATTATAAGTTGATTTGATCACACCAAGAAAGACAGGCTGATATAATTGTCCAAGTCCTGTTGGGTGGGGTTAATCTTCAGCTATCTCTTTACTGACCCATTTGTCTTCAACAGCATATATTTCCGTATTACACTCTGACCCTTCCCTTTCAACCTTCTCAAACCCAAACATACATACATACATTGCATTTATATCCCACCACAGTCCAAATTGACTCTTGGAGATTTAAGATCACCCCCTAAACACAAACACCCTCTTCTCTCACAAGTCCATGAAGAAAAAAAATAAGCGGAAAACTAAAAGTTATTAAATACATTTCAGAACTCTGTCCAGTAGGGGAGCCCTCAATACAAAAACAAGCCTTTTCATAGCTGCTGCTTTATTGGAGAGCAATATAACTAGGGAACAAAAGCTAGGGAAGAAATACAATGCAAAGGTAGTAAGCTGCAACACAGATATGTGTCAAAATAGAGCAGTCAGCCTGACATCTTGAGAGGATTAGCTCTCTTCTTCCTCTCTCTCTTTTATGACCACTACTAAAAAGAGTAACATGGGCTGGACGATAAACCCGAGCAGCTGGCTACTTCTGGAAAGAATAGGCTAAATGTTTGGAGTTCACCATCTCTTTGTCACAATCTACCACTTGGCAGACTTTACTGCATCTATAAATGTGTTCTACTTACCCTCATAATTTTCATGTCAGCTTACAACATAAAATATGAAGCATCAATAAAAATTTCAATAATTTGGAATAGGGAATAACAAAAACTAACATAGCAATGAAACCAACAGGAATAATAATAATTATTATTATGTACAGTATTAATGCAAGCACCCACATACACACAGTGTAACTGCAAAGTTTATAAAGGGAACACAGGAGGGATGGGATCTTTTAAAAAATAACATACTGGAATTTCATACCATTCCAATTAGAGAAAAAAATGGGTCAGTAGTTTAGGAAATAGTTGCAGATACACAGGGAGCCTTTGAGCTAAAAGAGACATGTATAGGAAATAGAAGATGGGTGTAATCACTATGGAGATGTGCCAGCAAATAGCAAATATCTGTAACAAGAAAAAAAGGCTACATCTGAGTTTTGGAGGAGCTAACAGATGTCATCTCTGATCTTTGAGAAATCATGGACAACACGTGTAGCAGCACAGGACTGGAGAAGGGCAAATGCTTCTATCTTCAAAAAGGGAGTAAAAGAGAAACTGGGTAATTACAGACCAGTCAGTTCCAGAGCAAAACTCTGGAACTGATTATGAAGCATTCAGTGAACATTTAAAAAGTATACATTCACTGGCAAGAGGCATCATGGGTTTATCAAAAATAAGTCACCACAAACCTATCTGATACTTTTTTAATAAAGGGACTAGTTTAATTAACCACAGAATAGTGGTCAGTTAAACTACAGGATAGTGTACATTGGCTTCAACAAATATTTGACAAAGTCTCTAATGAAATTCTAGTAGAGACAATGGCAATATGGAGCTGGTTGAACAAATGTACAACTAGAAGTTGGGTGCAACATCGCTGGACTTGGCTCTAGGCCCTGTCCTGTACAACATGTAGTAATTGTAATTGACTTGGATGAATGATCATGATATATGATTATCAAATTTGCAGATGACACAGAGAGGGAGGGGAGGGATTGCAAACACCTTAAAAGAAAGCATCAAGATCAAGTTTCAAGAAGATCTTGACAAGTTGAACCAATAGGCAAAAACCAGCAAGAAGAATTTCAACCGAGATAAACGCATATATTTGGGTAGGAAAAATCCAAGCCATTTGTATAGGATGGGGACTACAATCGTGGTCAGCTGTATATGCAAAAAGAATTTGGGTGTCTTGGTGGATCACATGGCAAACATGAACCAAGAATATGATACAGCTACAAAACAGCCAAGTGCAATCCCAGATCGCATTAACAGAAATATGACAAGAAAAACTGAGGGAAATGGCAGAAAATGATAAACTGACTTGTTTATTAAAAGAAAATTCAAATAATTATTATCTTAAA